GGAACTAGATTGTCCCGATCAGGCGTCCAATCCAAGGAATTGGCGAAAACTTCCGTACACTAAACACGTGTCTGAACTCATTGAAAGGCACCTGAGAAAGCATCAAATCCAAGTGGCGCACAAACCAAAGAATACTCTGCGAAATCAGCTTCTACACCTTAAAGATAGGGTTGACTATTTGGACAGAAGAGAAGTTATTTTCGAGATCCCTTGTGGCAGCTGCAATGTAGTTCAGTGTGGACGGACAGGAAGAGCAGCCTCCATACGCTTACGAGAACAGCAACGAACGGTAAAGTGGCGATATCACTTGTTTGAAGTCGCCATGCACACATGGCATGGGACGAAACTTGCCCTGTTGGCTGTTGCCCAAAGGCCGTGAGTTTTTAGAAGCCACCCACTGCAATGACTCGTGCATCAGCAGGCACGTCGAATTGGACGCGATCCACACCAAACTCACGGAAGCATGGGAAGGACGGCGGCCAATCTGGACTAGATAAAGCAAGAACCAGCCACCACCGACCGCACGATTAAATACGGTCGACAATTATCTCCTGACTGACCTCATAATTATATGTGACAGACGACAATTTTTTCCCACTGACCGCATAATTACATGCGGGTGACGATTATTGACTAATTTCCTGACCCACTGTATAATTTCGTGTTAGCCATCGGTTTGAATTTACTGTTTCGTACAACCCTCATCCGTCTGACGACGACCTGGTGAGCCAGTATCGAAAATTCACACAATAGACTATCGTTTCCCAAAGGACTTCTTCTACTTAACATAAATATGTACGTGAATATGTATATGCAAATCTATTGAAATGGATCAGTATAGCAAACCCTTTTAAAAAAGAATGCATAAACACCGGTTCAAGGACCGACCGAGGTACAGAACATTATTCCATATGCGAATGAAGTTTATGAGACGACCTTTCAACTGACGCATCTTTCTAAGTAAAAGCGGACTGAAAACCATTCATGCGTTTAACACGACTGATTATAAGCAAAACGAGCAAATGAGAAACCCAAATAATTGTTCTCATAGCTCAGACGTATTCATTGTTAGCATGGCGCGCAGTACTGGTTTGCGTATAAACAGGAAATACACATATTCCCTTCTTACTATTATATAGTTTTCTTTTAGGGACCTTCATATTTCTCACTTAGACCTCCAGACAATCAAATGACATACAGGTCCCACCAGTGTATCAAGTCTCTTGTTACAAATTAAACCAACCTAATTAGAATCAAATAACAAAAATTATAATTGTTAAACCTCTCAACTTCATTTGAACAGTCACAATTGCCTAAAAATGAAAACCAGGCAATAACTGGGGTATGTGGTCGTACAACTAGCAGATAACGAAGCTTGTCTTGTCTAAAGATTCTTCGTATACATAGCTTCGTTAGCTTACCTTCTGCTAGGCCCTCTATATCTGTACAGCTTAGTAAATTATGGGATATTTTACCACTACACAAAGGTTTACACATAGAAGGAAATTTTAATCAACATTCGTTTCATAAGACCTTTCAAGTCTTCGTTTAGATAATTTAACCGGTATTCCGCGAGGCTTACAAGGTTGAAGCTGACCCTACTGGTCAACAGTTTTTCAATAAACGGGTCGGTTATTTGTGCGAGACTGGCTTTCTTCTAATAGTAGTCGGGCCATTGCTGACTTCATACGTTTAAGGCAAAATTTCCGAGCCATTGTTAATAACGTAGCTCGAAATATCAGCGGCATCCGAGAAATCGTTGATGGCGTGGTTACTGTTAGTTGCCATGTTCCAAGAACAAGGCGTTCAGGATCTGGAAATTCGCCTCAAAGAACCCGAGGAGTTAATCCCCCACTAGGCTAACACGAACATTATGTTAACACGAATATAAGCTGGCGGTACGACGGGGTGACGCATTATCGCAAGTGGCCGCCCATACGTACGGGACCGGTCACGAGTTTAATTTCGCAGCTGCGAAGGTGATTGCGCAGGCCGGCAACAAAACAGGGCGTGAATTTGTTGAAGCTTGGGCCTCGCATGAGATCTCAGTCAATCGATTTATCTATCTGGCGCCGGCATACATCGCCCTGCGCAGGCATCTCCGGACTGACGGCACTGGCGGTTGACTGTTCCCCCACCCTTCCCCTTCCCCCCTCCCCTCCCTAACGGTTGATTGGCTCCTGCGTCCTATAACTGTTGCTTGTCTTTCGTTTAC